GATGTTGGGTCACCGATAGGGAACCACTGCATTCGTCAATCATATGATAGTTATGTCTTGTTATCTATTTTATTATATACCTAAAATATAGCCAAGGTCAGGTATGCGTATGTCATTCAACCCATTGCAGTTAAAATTTGTGTTTGCATTTTCTTATACACACCTATGTACATACATATGCTCACCCGCTATACTCATATTGTTGATTTGAATATACTCCCGCTATGCTTCGCTCTTACAATTATACGTACATACATATGTATGTTTGTTCGTAAGCTTTCGCTGATATAGTTAATCATATGCATATATTGAACTTAACATAAGCATGCCTGCAGCAATGCTGCATTCCCATTTTTTCTATTCCTTTTGTGTTTGGCTCTGATGTATGTACATATATGTATATTACGAGTAGTGTTAAGATCATCCACCTCTATGAAGTACTAAAGTACATATGTACATAAATTATGTATTAGCAAATATTAGAAGTTACGAATGTATTGAGATATCTATCGGTAGTTATGTATTAGTTGGAAATTACTTAAGGAGAAGAATTTGTCTAACAGCTGACCACCAAGGCGTTTACATCTGCCCATCGTTGCTTGGCCCGTTCCCTGTGTCGTTCGATTGTTCGCTACTTTGAGTTTTGCGCGGTTACAAAAAAGGCTTTGTAATCCTACATTTTTTGGCGCCCAACGTGGGGCTGGCACTACATATTATATAACTTGTAAGTACACGCTTCGTATCATTTACATCTGGTGGTCAGCGTTAGACCCCTCATCGCCATCGTTGGACGTGCTGCTAGCCACCATCAATCTCACTCACGGACACGTCATTATCTCCAAGCTACTTGGCCGCTGGATACAAGAACTATCATTGACACTGATAGATTCATTTCGTCAGCCGCATTTGAATAGTCGTCGTTTCTGCTACCTCTTCGCTCGCTTACCATCGCTTACGGCCGTCGCTCCAGCTCAGCACACACATCGCTCTCGAACACTGCCGCCTTCCAGTCATCATCACCCTCGCTATCATTACTTTGATTCGTTGGTTGCACTGCACCAAAAGGCGCACATATCGCCACACACGTATGTATGTATGCACCTTGGGTTTGACCACCCTTTTTTCTAGCTTGCCATTGCCACTGTCGCAAAACATTTCCCTTTCGCGACTACACGTAAGCAATCCCTCAATAACAGCCACAAATTGCCATTTGCGTTTTAATTTTTGCCGCCTGAAATTTTACTGCCTTTAACAATGTCTTTGGACGAATTAAAGCAACAGCGCGCAAATACTAAGAAAAACATCACGCGCATCAAGAACATTGTGGATGCTAGTTTACGTCCAGGAGGTAAAACTCTCTCAGCTGCCGAATATAAATGTCGTTTGGGCATTTTTGAATCTTACTTTAAACAGGTACTGTCCATTCAGACGGATATAGAAAAATTGGATCCCGACGATGGAGGACGCGCGGACCTTGAGGAATTGTACGTCACTACAAAATTAACGATTCAAGCACAGCTAGTGGAGGATCATAATATTTCGCTTCCGGAAACAAGCTGCATTGTGCAGCACAGCACTAAATTACCAAAGCTCAAACTCCCAACGTTTAGCGGCAAGTATTCTGAGTACCAGAATTTTATTACATCCTTTAAACAGATAATTGATAAAGAATTTAGTCTTTCAAACATCGAGAAATTTAATCATTTGCGAAACTCGCTTCAAGGTCAAGCTTTAGAAACCGTCGATGCATTCCAGGTGACCAATGAAAATTACCCTAAAGCATTGGAACGGCTGAAAGAAAGGTACGACAATAAAACTTTAATTTTTTTGGAAAATATCTCTTCTTTATTCGAGTTACCAGCGGTTTCGAAACCAAACGCACTACAATTGAGAAGTCTTATCGACAAGACTTCTGCCATTTACGGTTCACTTCTCTCGTTGGGTAATGAAATGCAAATTTCCCAAGCCATGCTCATTTATTTGGTGCTTCAGAAATCGGATGAACAAACCAATAAAAAGTGGAAAGAATCTTTGGATTTTAAGACGCTGCCGACGTGGGGCGACTGTGTGAAGGTGCTGGAAAGGCATTGCCAATATTTGGAGTCGATGGAAGCTAGCCACACAGGATCAGCAGTTATTCCAGGTAACAGCAAAGCTGCATTAAGTAAGGTAAGGAATCAGCCAAAGGGATATTCATTTACCTGCTCCAATACGCCGTGCTCTGTTTGCTCAAGCACAAACCATAAAATTTCTAATTGCGATCGTTTTAAGTCTTACAACATCACCCAGCGATTCGACCAAGCGAAGAAAATGGGACTTTGCATCAATTGCCTGTCTAAAGGACATCAAATGGCTCAATGCCCATCAACCCACAGATGTAAGGTTTGCTCAAAGCAGCACCACAGCTTACTCCACCGCGGGTCCACATCAGCCCAACAGACAACAAATCCTCCACCATCACGCGAAGCCGCAGTGCACACACACATGCACAATTCGTCGTCTGACAATGTTATTCTAGCAACTGCCATGATTTTAGTTCGTGATTCGTCAGGTGATTACAGACTAGGCAAAGCCCTGCTAGATTCCTGTTCTCAGGTGAATTTTATTACTGAGGAATTCGCACAAAGACTGTCGTTACCGAAAGGTAAACAAAACATTGAAATCCAAGGCATCGGTAAGTCGTCAACAAACATTAGATACAAAACTTCCACTAATATAAAATCGCAGCAATGCGAATTCGAACTTCCGCTGACGTTCTGCATTACGCGGCACATTGCCTATCAGCCAGACCCTGAAATCGATATTTCTTCTTGGAATATTCCAAATAATATTACCCTTGCTGATGATGAATTTTACGTACCCAGAAAAATCGATTTGTTGTTAGGTACGGAAACATTCTTTAGTCTGCTGGCAGTTGGCCAGATCAAACTTGGAACAAATTTACCAATATTGCAAAAAACTTTATTAGGATGGGTTGTATCGGGTCGATACCAATCAAGCAACAACTTGTCTCAACGTTCATGTTTATTTACAGCCAATGACTCGTTGGATGCCAAGCTGGAGAAGCTATGGAGAATTGAGGAAGTAGCTGTCAATGCCGAGCCTTGGACTCGCGAACAAACAACTTGCGAGCAGATGTACAGAACCACTGTTTCAAGGAATCCAGCTGGAAGAATAGTAGTGAAATTGCCATTCAAGGATGATCCCTCCTGCTTAGGTGACTCGTACACCACCGCACTGAGACGATTCAACGCACAAGAGCGTCGTTTAGCAAAATTACCACACTTGAGAAAACAGTACGTGGATTTCATGGATGAATACGAGCGTTTGGGACACATGAGCATCATGGAGAATCCGAATTTGGGTGAACCGCATTATTACATCCCACACCACTGTGTGCTAAAGCCCACCAGCACAACAACAAAACTTCGTGTCGTTTTTGATGCTTCTTGCCGGACTACAACACAAATATCTCTCAACGAAATCCAAATGGTTGGCCCTACAATTCAGAGTGAGTTAATTCTTCTTCTTCTTCGTTTCCGCTTATACAGATTCGCATTGACTGCCGACATAGTCAAGATGTACAGACAAGTACTTGTGCATGACGGTGACCAACGTTTCCAATATATTTTGTGGACGAGTTCCCCGACTGAAAAAATTCGCACCTATCAACTTCAAACGGTAACCTATGGAATGGCTTCGGCACCATATCTGGCCATACAAAGTTTAATTTACTTGGCTGAGCAATATCAGGATCAGTTTACACTTGGATCTAACATCGTTAAATCGTCATTTTACGTCGATGATTTGTTGTGTGGCGCAGATAATTGGGACGAACTTCTACGGATAAAGAAAGAGGTAACACAGTTGTTAGCTTTAGGTGGATTCGAGCTTTCAAAGTGGCATTCTAACCATTTTCGACTGAGGCAAAATAAGTGTATAAAAAATCTCAACTTGGACGACTCCGTCACGAGTGCTCTAGGTCTGCGATGGGATCAAGCAAATGATACCTTTTTGTTTTCGTTTGAACCAAGGAAAGTACAAAAAAATCGCATAACAAAACGCTCAATCCTTTCAATTGCATCATCGTTATTCGACCCTCTTGGTTTGTTGGCGCCTGTTACCATTACGTCAAAAATTTTATTGCAGGAGTTATGGCTGCTTAGGTTGGATTGGGACGAATCCGTGCCTCACAACATTCATTCCGCTTGGACAAGCTTTCTTAACAGCGTATCGGACCTATCATCACTCAAGGTGCAAAGGTATTGTCTTTCAACCGACTCCCTGGACCTTCAGCTGCATGGCTTCTGTGATGCGTCCATTCGAGCATATGGATGCGTCATCTATACAAGAACAGTTACCAAGTCCGGAAGTATTGTCGTTCGTTGTCTCACCGCAAAATCCAGAGTCGCCCCCATCAAAAAACAGTCGTTGCCAAAGCTAGAACTTTGCGGCGCTCTCCTTTTAGCTCGTCTTTTTTCAAAAATCAAATCAATTTTTTACAATAAATCCTTGAACGTTTTTCTCTGGACAGATTCACAAGTGGTCTTACATTGGCTGAAGATGCACTCAATAACGCTTTCGGCGTTCGTTGGAAATCGGGTTTCGGAAATACAGGACTTAACTACGGGAGCCCATTGGAGGTATGTGCCAACACACAGTAATCCTGCAGACATAGTTTCCAGAGGATGTACGGTGGCAGAACTCGCCAGCTCAATTTGGTACACTGGACCTACATTTTTATACAAACCCATGGAGGTTTGGCCTAAAAACGAAAACAAAGGCGTTGATATGGAAACCGTAGAAGCCGAGAGACGAAAGTCAGCATTCACCACAACTATAAAAACCAACCACATTCTTGAAGTCGTCAATAAAAAGAGCTCGTACACTAGCAGCATTCGATTAATCGGCTGGATGTTTCGATTCGCTAATAATCTACGACCTGTTGTTAAGTCCAATGAGTCAGGCCCTCTTTCCTCACAAGAATTGCATCATGCCCTGCTTTGCATAATTTGGAATATACAACAAGAACATTTCGCTAATGATATTCATCTTTTGCAGAAAAATCTTACCACAAATGGACAGTTGCGTTATTTGAACCCTTTTCTTGAGTCGGTCAGAGGATTTCAATTACTGAGGGTTGGTGGGCGTTTAAAGCAGGCGGACATACCAGAAGAGAGGAAACACCCACTACTATTGCCAAGCAAATGCGAATTCATCATCAACTATGTGCGACATCTTCACCACAGTCATTATCATGCTGGACGAAAGGCCCTCGTAGCTTTGATAAGGCTCAAATTCTGGATTATCAACGCGCGTGAAGTGGCAAGGCGAGTGGTCAGATCCTGCATACATTGTGTACGCTACAAGCCAAAACTGATGGAGCAAGTCATGGGACATCTACCAGTTGAGCGATTGACTCCGTCACGCCCGTTCGCCCGCTGCGGCATTGATTTTTGTGGACCTGTTGACGTTTACCTGCGAATTAGAGGCAAGATACCCTACAAGGCCTACATCGCAATTTTCGTTTGTTTAGCTACCAAGGCAGTGCATATAGAAATCGTTTCGAATCTTTCTACAGAAGCGTTTGTGGCATCTTTGAAGCGGATGATCGGAAGGAGAGGCTTGCCATCTGATATATTTTGCGACAATGCGACAAATTTTGTTGGCGCTTGTAATAAACTTGCGAAACTAAAATCATTTTTATTCGAAAAAGAAAATCAAGACTCAATTATTTCGTATTGTGCTAACGAATTTGTGAATTTTAATTTCATTCCCCCTAGAGCACCTCATTTTGGCGGGATCTGGGAAGCGGCCGTGAAATCAGCAAAGGGCCATCTTAATCGCAGCATGGCAAACTCACGGCTTACTTACGAGGAACTCACAACAGCCTTGGTAGAAATCGAAGCGGTAATGAACTCGCGGCCAATAACACCATTGTCTTCCGATCCGAACGACTACGAAGCATTGACTCCAGGTCACTTCATCATTGGCGACGCACTAAAAGCACTTCCGGAGCGAAACGTGTCATCCAACATAAGCCATGCGCAACAGTGGGCACAAATAGCTACAATCAAACAAAACTTTTGGAAGCAATGGTCACATGAATACATCAACGAGCTACAAGTACGCTCAAAATGGTTTGCAGATCGGCCAAACATCGAAAACAACACAATGGTCATCATACATGAAGACAACTTACCACCGCAGAAATGGCTTATGGGAAGAATTGTAAATTGCATACCAGGAAAGGATTCGAAAATTCGTGTGGTTGATGTTCGCACATCGAAGGGAATCATTCGGCGCCCCATCCACAAGCTAGCAGTTTTGCCAGTTTGAAATGCATTTCAACGGAGCCGGGATGTTGGGTCACCGATAGGGAACCACTGCATTCGTCAATCATATGA